TGCTTAATCCACCGAGGCAGTTTCAGATATTTATCGTCTAATCCATTCGAGGCAAAATCTTACGTTAGAAATGGCGCGATGCAAACGACATCTTCTTTCCATTCAACGCCATAGATCTAACACCACGTTTCTGAAATATTGGCGATGCACCTGCATTCCCAATTAACAGTAAAGTTTCACACATGGGTCTATCTGGGTCTGTCTAAATGATCCATTGACCTATCTGCGCACCCGCGCCGCTACAAACAAATGTTGTCTCCCACATGCTCTCTTCAAACCAAAGTTGCGGTACACACATGAAAGCGAAGCCAACACCAGACTGTGCGGGGCGTCCGACCGTAAGGGCGGCCATGAGGACATGCCGCGCCTCGAGCCGCTGAGGTAGTGCCAGAGCCCCGCCGGCCGGCCAGCCACGTGGGCGGGTGTCGATATATGCCCGGCGCCGCCCCCGCGGGCACGTCCGGACGACTGAGTCGATGCTGATCTTGGGTCGCCTCCAACGGCAGCCTGGATTCCATGCAGGGCGCTCTCATGCACGGGAAGTACGCGGGAGATTACGCCAGTCGCGTGAGGCAGCCGCAGTGATTTTGCCAGTGATGATGCGGCCCGGGTGGGTATCTCACATGGTTCGCTCAAAAATGGCAATTCCTTGAAGCAGGGGTGTGTGCAGGATTTCAGTACGGGGTCGGCAGGGTCGGACCCAGCTCTGAAAATTCTTTGAAAATCGAGCACAGCGCGCGCAAGTTCATGCGAATCACAAAACAACATTGCATGGTACCGATCTCGTATGCTAACGTGCCTGCTTGGATCTTTTACTGCTAGCATTTGGCCACGTACACATTGATACGTGTCATACATTTGGCAAGAGGTGCACGTGCTCCTCGGGGGCTCTGTGCGCCCGCCCCCGCCTTAAAGCATGCAAGTGTTCATATGGAAAGTACCATTGCCAGTCCACCGATGCTCAACCATCGGTCGGAAATCCATGCCTCAGCTGAATATGAACACATCAGAGTTATCGTCCGCAGCCGCAGTATATTCGCTGGCGCTCAAAATTATCCATTCAATACAGTGACATGATGAGCGGGCGACAGCCTTTCAACGCAGCTTGGCACGAAAGCCGTAGCACAGGTTCTCTTTTAGGGGTCATCCTGTAAGAGGCCCACCTTTCGTCAAACAGAAAAAAACAGCGGAATCAAATAGGAAAATCGCCATTGCTTAACTCGGTCAACGGGCAAACAGGTTACCATGGGACGACGCGAACGAGTAAACAGCTTCGCCAACACAGGAATACACCTTCAGGCCCCTGACCGGTCGCCACTGCAGACTTTCCAGCACTGCGCGTGGAACTCAGGGATCAGCGCACGTGCGCTCCATTTTCAGGATCTTGAGCAGGGGTCGGCCGTCCGAGCGCATCTGGTACCTCACCCAGATCTGGAGGCACCAGGCGCTGTTAGCAAGGCCACTGCACGCTGGCTGCAACTGCTGTTCGTCGCCGCGCTTCGCTCGCGCTCTGTAAGGTGCGAGCGCGCGCGCCGCGCCTGTCGCGAATATTGGTACCACTGTGTCGAGGTCAAGACATGGTCTCCGTCCCACCAGACACCAACCACCACTTGCTACCGTTGTCAACTGCTGTCAGAACATTCTCACTTAGTACCGACGGCGGTGTTTTCGCACCGCATACGCTCGGCCTCGATGAGGACCCGTTCCTGCGCGCGGTCCTCTCATGACATCGACGCTCCTGCTCGTGGTGCAAGCCGCCGCGGCGAGCGCCAATAAAAACGCGAGCCCAGTGTGACCCCCACCCCTGAACGGTCACACTGGCGCGCCAGCCGCCGGCAGCGGCGCTCACAGTCGGCTGGCAGCCCTGCCCGCCCGCTTTACCACGGGAGCCGGGTGCGCGGCAGATGCTGGTAACGTTTAAGAGCGGAGCTTCCGCCGGCTACTAGGAAGCTCTGCAGGGATAGCAGGCCAGGACCGTGGCGGACGGTGTCACCCGACGAATCGGACACCGCGGACGCACTGAGCGATGGCGTCACTACTGCAGGATGACGCAATTCCAGTGCCATGTCATTACTGTGATGTAATGACACTACTGCGCGATGACGTCATTACTGGACGGCACGGTCACTCACAACAGGTTGTGCCTGAACGGATGCCCGCACGGCAGCCATACATTATAATGATTGAACGTGAATGTCTGTGTGCATGCAAACAAAAAAACACGTAAGCTGTTCAATGCGTTGGCGAGGAACATTATTCACATACATAAGGCAGTAGTAATATCCTTATTCCTCGGAGAAAAACAGGAGAATGGAGATGGAGATGGGTTTTAACCCATCTATATTTCCTTCTGGTTACTCTCCGGAGAATGAGGCTAGTACTACTGTCTTAGAAATGCGAACAGAAAATGAGTAGATTTGTATTTTGACGTGATATAGAAGAGTGGTAAGGGGCCACAAATTAACTGCATGCGCGTTAGACGTGGTTCACTTCACGAGAGATGGCCTTGTTCTTCCTTGCCGCATGACAAAGACCCGGCTTAGATTCAGGCGCCCACCATCCAAATATCGTCCCACCATTACAACCTCTCTGATCGCGCTGCCGCACTGCTTGTCAGCGCATATAGAGCTAAGCGAACACGACCAAACGCGGGACCAAAGGTCTCACCCATAACCGGGAAGAGAGGGCCAGCAAAAGGCTCGGAAACTCGACACACAACGCGTCCCAAATTTCAACGGAGCTGTGCAAAATGACTCGCCATCGACAAAAGTACCCGTCGTGCTCTTCAGACCGTTCCCAGACTGTTGTGCGCTGTTTGGCATTGTCACGTTCCGGGTCTGAAACTGGTGTTGATATTGATATGGTTTGCAAAAAAACAGCCCTATGATTACTATGCATTCTTCAAGGATGTAGGAAATGGGTGGAGACACGGGGACTATGCCGCCCCTCCCCACCGGAAGTGATTTAAACTAGATATTAGGCGATTTAGCAGAAATTGGGCCCAGGGTCGCCAGAGTTTGGAGAAGTTTGGCATTTGGCTACCCAAGGAAAATAGCCGCAATTTGCCTGTTATTATAATTTGTTCAGTCACCAATGCATACAGTCTAAAGAAAAACCGGAACTCGACAGTAACATATAATGAGCGCCGATCGCTCGAATGCGTTCCCATGACTTTGTAGGCATATTTACGATATGTGACTAGCAATGGCGACCGTCTAAGGAAGCCAGTTTCAGTGCATCGAGTAACATTGACTTCACGCGCCACATCAATATCGCCAGCACGGACGTCATCACATCTCACGATAGCTCGAAAATGCAGGCTTTCGCTACACCACGGTCCTGCGATATATCAACAAGCGCAAATTCCGCTCTAGCGGCGACAGCGGAGCACTTCTTGCAGACATTTAAGGCAACCCGCACCCACAGCAAGCTCTGGCATCACGCCATCTACGGAGCGTGCGCAAGCTGGCCGACGCCGGGCCGGCCTCCGAGTCGGGCTCCGACGGTGCGCGCGCGTTACCTTGGCGTGCTCCATGAGCCACCTGTGCTTGAGCTCCACTCTCTCTCCGCCTCGGACATGGCCTCGAACCGGCCCAGCTGCCGACCGGGCGCCGTGTGAGCTGACCGGGTCGGCACGTCTCGCGGGGGGGGGGGGGGGCGTGCGACCGGCGGCACATGGGCGCACGTCGCGGAGACCACGCAGACGCGGCCAGGAGCACGGCCACACCTTCAGCGCTATCGCTTTGTCATCTCCAGTACAAACCGGACCTGCCCGTGCGTTCCAAATCGCCCCACATCGCTTCTGCCGGCGCGTTCCGCATCATTGCACATCGCTCCTGCCCGCGTGTTCCCCATCGAGAGCGGGAGGCGAGAGGAACGGCTGCCGGCCTCACCACTGGCACCGACGTCGCCGCCGTTGTCGGGACCGACCTGCGTCTGGAGGACGCTCTCAGCGACGCGTCCCTCGAGCAGCAGCCGCTCCAGGCCGGCCCTGTGGTCGGCGATGCTGACGCGCAGCGAGAACGCCTGCGTCAGCTGGCCGCCGGCACCTGCCGCCCGGACGGCGGGGACGTGACGTGACGTGACGCGACGTGACGTGACGTGACGTGACGTGACGCCGGCGCACGTGACGCAGCAAGTCTGTTACTCGGCGGAGGCGGCAGCGGGCAGAGGGGCCGGGCGCCGCAGCTGGAGGGGCCAGGCCTCCGGGAACGCTCTTCGTTGGCAAGGCGGTCGCCTGCGGCGGCTCCCCGAGATAAGTCAGCGATAGATGCGACACAAGAGGCCGCACGCTTATGATTAGCAGTCGTTCATGTGACATAACCGCCCAAGACGTCACAGGCATTCATGGCGCCACTTTGCGGTGGCAGCGACGAGCCCCGGATATCAGTCACCGCAGGGTTGACAGCCTTGTTAGGCATAGTTTACACAAGCACATCCGTGCCACAAATCCATCCGATAGACCTTTGTATCACCTTGCTTGCGTCGCTCATATTTTACGCCCACATGTGTCGCAAGTCGAGTTATCAAACCGCAGGATGGCGAAGAGGTACGTTCACTTACCTGCGACACAACCCAGATTGCTACACTGACCCTCCGACTCAGGAACGTACCGCATACAACCGTCCGCTGCAAAGTCCAGGGAGGTCGACAGGCGGTCAGACCGGTGTCCGTGGGCGGCGAGACTTCACTGCACGTCATCAGAAACGGGCCTCAAATGGGAGACGAGAACGGCGGCTCTTCAGGACCGCGGCCGTCTGGTGACCTGACGCGGCCATGAAGGGCAGAAACACCCGGGGTGGAAACAGGTCAGAAACAGCTGGGTAGAAATACCCGCGTGTTGGCCCCAGTCTCTTATCATGTCAGCCCATCGCAAACAAGTGTAAGAAATAAAAAAGCGGCTTGCGAACTGGGACACCACCCCAGCAACGTCTTCGTTCCTGGTCTCGTGACGCCAGTGCACTGGTGCGCGCGTCCCTCGCGCCACCAGCCGCGGCCGCTCACCACTTGGTGATCTTGTATCGGTCCGAGTCGAGCGGCAGCCAGGTGACGAAAGCCGGCACCAGCACCACGTGACTGGCGGTGACGTCAGTCAGCGCCAGCAGCCGCTGCTCCAGCTCCAGCACCGAGCAGTGGTCCTTCACGGCCGACACTGCCGACAGCGCACAGTAAACACCATAGCGGTTGACTGTAACACTCATCCCTAGCATAATGCAGCCCACGTATACGTCTAGCTTGCTTTTTTCTCCCTTTTTCCCTTGCCTCAAACTTTTCCCCAGAAGTTTGACAGCGTCTTCGTCTGAAAGTCACCATACGTTTTCCTGTCACTATACGTCACTCGCAGTGTTTATGCAGGCACTACCAAGCGATGGCTGATAGTGCTGACAACGCCGACATCATCACGAGAGACCTCAGAGACTCTCCACACCTAACCACAGTCCTGCTGCTCACATCCTCGAACGTCTAGTAACGACGGTGGTCGGCAGGGCTCATGACATTGGCACGGGTTTAACTCGTCCGGAGGAGCGTGGGACTGACTCCAGCTGATATGAGCCTGAACTGAACTGATTACGCATCTAATCGTCGCGATTTTCAGTCTGATTCGACGTAAATGACGAAATCCACAATTTCCGCGGTTCCCCGCCCCGCATCACACGAACAGTGAGGCGTGATGGTCACTGGGAGACGTCATGGTATCATTGCTGCTGCCACTGCTTCAGCTGTTTCGTGTTACGGGCGCATCTACTCGATCCAGCCGTGTAACCATTCAAGTCTCAGGATAACCGCTGAGCGAGGTCCCAGCGTCCTTCCTCGTAATCTCTGCCACAGAGCGTCCGTCCCTCAGTGCTCGCAACAGCCCCCATCTTTGCGGATTATATTTGAAGAGAAAATGTAGCATATCAGACGAGTTATTGAACCAAGGCAAATGCTGTGCATCATATGGCATGTGGCATCATGCATCATGTGGCTGTAGGCGAAATCCATTGACAAATTTCCCAGGAGATGCAATCAGTCATGTTTCAAAAGCTCGTGACATCATATCAAAGGTTGGAATTCTAGCCCACTTCTACATTCAACCTCCTGAAGCACAACAACAACCCATCCTCTGCCGCGGGCCACCGCCACCCACCGTCAAACTCTTCATCGGCCGTGAACTGCTGGGCACGCTCGGCTCGGACGCGGCGCGCGAACTGCGCCAGCTGCTGCGCGGCCGGCAGGGCCGGGTTGGGCGTGAGCACGGTCTGCGAGCTCACCACGCCCACGGCCGTCTGCCGGTACGTGTCGTACTTGACCCGGCAGTCGGTGACGTAGAGCACTGCCGGGCCACGGCGGCGCCCGTCAGGTGGCCCCTGCCACACGGCGCGCGCGGGGTCACGCAGGCGGGTGGCAGACTGGCGAACGTACGGCTGCGGACTGGGGCTGAGGCTGTGGGCGTGCGGCGTGAGAGCGAGTGCCCTGTAGGCGTTGGCGTGTTCAACCCTCGGTCGCCATCTGCGGAGCCCTGTGGCGGCTGGAGACGCATTCACGCATGTGAGACCATTCGTGCACACACTGGTCTCCGTTCGGGAGCGTCGACAGCTTATGGTGAGCCGGCTCACACGATGCGCCGCCCGCCGCGTCGACCCGACTCCAGTGGGGTCCCCAGCTTCCCAGGCTGGCCCGGCCGCCGTCGCCAGCATCGCTCGGGTCGTCCCCGGCCCTAACACGAACCACACGGGCTCGCCCCCGCACCGACCCGTCTCCCACGGCGTCCACTGCTGCGCCAGCCGGATCCACTCGGAGTCCCAGAGCTGCAGGCCGAAGCTGGCGCAGCTGGGGTCCATCAGCCGCAGCTCGCAGCTCTGCAGCTGCCGGCCCTGGCGCGTGCTCACGTCCCGCGGCTGGCACACCTGGCGGCGCCAGAGGCAACCACTCGAGCTCGCGGTCGGCGAACAGCGCAGCCGGCGGAGGCGCGCGCTGGGCTCAGCACGCGCCGAGGCGGTGCGGCGCTGCTGGCCGTCTGTGTACACAAGGGAAGGGCAGCGGAACACGCTGGAGTAGGCAGCACCACACACATCGATCTACTTTGCGACGGTCAGTCTTACGCTCGTGTCCACTGTTTTGTTTTATGCAATTCAACATGCGATTGTGCACTGTGCGCGAAATGCATCGCAGTACTGGCTTTTTATACGAATGACGATGAAAAGAAACGGGTGTCAGCATGACAACATGTGGTGTGACGTCATTCGCTCATCTCGGCACCATTAGGAGACCGGCGACACACTGCATCACGTCACCCCCCGCCTGACAACCTAAAAGCATCCGCAACACGGAGCAAGAGACGGCCTGGAAACCGTGTGACGTCATTCCACCTCTTGAGCACTTCCTGGAGGGCACGGGAGACGCCCTGGGCGTCACATGTGACTCACCCGCCTGGGCATCACAAGCCGAGAGCGGCCGACCGACGGTATGACGTCACTCACCCGCCTGGGCATCACCAGCCGAGAGTGACTGGCCGACAGTATGACGTCACTCACCCGGCGGAGCACGGCCAGCAGCGAGCGTGTGACTGGCTGCAGGCTGGGCGAGGCGGCCGCCTCGGCCAGCGGCAGGTAGTGCGGTGGGCCGGGCGGCAGGCTGAACAGCTGCCGGTACTGCAGGTCGTCGCCCTCGAACAGCGTCACCGCCGAGCTGTTCTCGCTCAGCTTCAGCGAGAACGGACTGGACGCAGGGCGGAGCGGCCGTCAGACGCTAAAGCAGCGTCAGCCGTCCGTTCATTAGCGGGGTGCTGTCTGGTGCTCAGGTTCAGCGAGAACGGACTGGGCGCAGGGCGGAGCGCTGCCGTCACAAGGCAAAAAGCCGTATCTCCGAGTTTTTACGATCATAAAGTTGCTCAGAAAGACAAAAAAGGGGTTTCTCCCATATTGAAGGGTGAAGTTAGCACAGGCAAGGGCAAAAATACACCACTCTGACCGCGTTTACATGGCCAATCCTAAGATAACGTTTTTGAGACGCTTAAACGTAAGGTTTTTAAATTAAGATGCAAAAATGTTTTGCCTTGCGGAAAGAGTCGTCACCCATGGGACAATCCGGCAGGCAAAAAGCCGTATGTGTCAAAAAGCCGTTTCTTGGAGTTTCTCGACTGAGTCATGGGGTGGCTTTCGCAGGCAAAATGCTGTATCGCTTAACCCTGCACATATTTTTCATTGCGTGGGGTTAATAATGATTCGAGATATAGGTGAAAATAATGCTTCGGTGTTGAATTGAGAGACAAAAATCGCCGGGCCCGATGACCCGTACCCAACATGGCCCGGCCTGGCCTACCATAAGTTTTGGGAAGTGATAAACACCGAATCTTGTGACCGTTCTCTTCATACAATGCTTTACGTTAGGTAAGGTCACGTCCGGTACTTGCATTTGTTTGCACTTGGGACCCCGAATCCAAGCAGAATGCTGCATTTCGGGCGTGGGGTCTCTTAGTGCATGGGTCTGAAAATGTCGCCAGATTGCCAGCTCCAGCGGAAGCTGAGGGTTAACTGAAAGAATGCCTCATACTTATCGAATGTATTGCCAACAGATGTAAACATTAAGCAAATGCAATGACACCGCAGGCAACCTGATAACCATAAAATGTATCACTCACTGCCACTGAGCCTCATCACCTTTCTGCCATCAAGCCCCAGAATGCATCAAACGGAGCCGCCTTCACATGTTCCGCTCCCGAACGGAACACCTAACTGATGCTGATGGAAAAGTCTGGTAACAAGCGGTGTTACAGAAAAAAAACAGATACACAAACTACATCACAAAACCATACCCAAAATAACAGATCCACAGCTGACGTGCGTTGCAGTATTAGGAGCTTCGAATGGAAGGAGCAGTTATCAAACACGTCCAGGGCCATCAGGAGCCCTGTATGATTCGCTTAGTCGTTCAGCTCCCGAGCGGACGAACCGGTCAGGCTCTCCCAAAAGGCACGCCTCTGTGGCGGCAGCAGTGGGAGGAGCTGCTGCTTCAATGTCTCCAGCTTTGCTCTGTTGACACCGCGCGGACGCATCTTTGCCGCTGGCTGTTCCCGTGGGAAGAATGTCGTTTTTGCTAGGTCGAACGCACGCCAGCTGTTGGATGAGTGGCTTACTTTGGTGAACACCAGGTCCTGGCCACGGCGAACCTGGATCACCTTGCATGAGGCCAGATATGGTCGGCAGTTTTCCTCGGTTAGGAGCTTCAGCTTCTGGGCACTCACGCCACTTGTGATGTTGAGGAAGTCATTAGGCTTCATCTCGATCACCTTCGACGAGTCTTCGATAACGGTTGTAAAGTCCTCCATGTCTGCCACCACTCTACGACGCTTCAGGCTCTTGTTGCAGACCTGGTGGACTGCGTCCGCCGACATCGAAGTGTGGCCCTTTTGGAGGAACTTGAGGGTCACCTGATTCAGCATCTTACCAGGCTTGTTGACGGCCTGCATGAGGCCTGTAATAAGTATCCAATTTTGTTCTGCCCGGAACAATTATCTAGCCAAATCGTGATGGCCTCCACATCTCGCTGCAGCTCGATGTACCGAACGAAGGCGGAACATACGTCAGCCGCGTCCCGCCCCGCTGTACCCTCATGCCACACGATCGAAACAGCCTTCGGTTCTCGTTTGCCGAGCGGTGCAAACGTCTCGTTGTAAACCACAAGTCGAGACGTGAATATGGCGACTTTGTGCGGGAGCTGTGGCAGAAGGAAGATCCGCATCATATCTGCGGACACGACAAGCTCATTGCCTTCCCACACTCGTTCTGCGTCTTCCTTATAAGCGATCCGCGCCTCGTTTCTGTGCTTGATGTGCTGGATGTGAGCTTGGCAGTCAGGACACGTCCCGTCGTTGTCCCTGCACGTATGCAGTGAATGTGCCGCGCATTCGGCACATTCCTCGTTACCAAGTTTTGTGAACCCTATGTTCATTTCAGCCATGGTTCGACGATATCTTGTTTCTGAGCATATGTTGGTGCCATGCATTTCTTGAAAAATGTTTGAAGAGTATGGCTGTATTCAAATCCGGAGGCAGGTACCGCCGCTGCGGAGCGTGCAAATACCTATAATGAGGAGCAACTGGCTTAAATGACATGATGTGATGCTCGAGGATTGTGCTGTCCAATTTGTTTCTTGGGGTCTTCGTTCCTCTGCGATCCATGGGGGCTGCTGGCTGAGAAGTGATACTGGCGAGGACTGGCTTGTCATTGCCGTTCTTAAAGCCCAAAGTTGCCAGGAAGAATATTTGCATACGGCAACAGCTTCGGTGCCAACCGGGAGATGCCACCGAAGGACTCGTCTTCTTTTGTTTTCTTTTTGCTCATCTCCTGATTTCGACCCGCTGACCCGATCCGTTACGTAGCGACGGTACCACTCACGTCTCGCCGACCACGACAGTGAGTTTACTGCAGTATTGATCTCTTCTCGCACATTTTCCGGAACTCTCCGACCACATTTCAGCTGGCAGGTACCCTCTTTGCAGCCCACTGGCGCTGACAGGAGCAGATGCTTGGTTTTGAAGCCCTCAATTTTGTTTTGAGGAGTTCGTGCCCGTTGTCTTTTTTTAACTTTCGTATGGCCAGCGTCCCGGTCGTGCAAGTCTAGGCCAAAGTCGTGGGCTTCCGGGTCCGGGAGGCCTGCGTCCGGGGCTTGCATGTCTGCGAGGCCAGCGTCCGGGTCTTGCAGGTCTGGGCCAGCGTCGGGGGCTTGCAGATCCGGGAGGCTAGCATACGGGGCTAGGTCTGAGAGGCCAGCGTCTTGGGGTTGCAGGTCTATGAAGTTACTGTCTGTGGCTTGCATGTCTGGGAGGTTAGTGTCCTGTTCGGTATGGATTGGTTCTGAGCGCAATGACACATGTGGACTGGAAGTGACGGCAGGACAGAATTGGGCAGCTTCGTAATGACGTGCGTTTGACGTAGAGATGGGAGCGCTCTGGCTGTCACTGGTGTTGTTTATGGCAGAAAAATCGACCGAATGATTACTATCAAACAATACTGACATGCTACCAGTAAACCAGGACAGCTCACTTGAACCATGGGGGATGTCTGGCGTGGCGCACATCTCAGAGCCCCGCGCAGTCACTGTAACAGTTGCTGGCAGAGTAGCCTCGGCGACCGCTAGAGTGGCGGCGGCGGTATCCGGCAGGGTGGGCGGCGGCGGTAACTGTAGAGTGGTGGCGGTATCCGACAGGGTGGCGGCGGCGGTATCCGGCAGGGTGGGCGGCGGCAGTATCCGGCAGGGTGACGGCGGTATCCAGCAGGGTGGCGGCGGTATCCGGCAGGGTGGGAGGCGGCGATAACTGGTAGAGTGGCGGCGTTGGCAACCGGTAGCGGGGGTCACGCTGGTACCTGGCGGATTGCTGGCTCCGGTACGCGATAGTGGGGTTATAGAAGCCGGAAGGGTGGCCAGAGTAGACAGGCTGGCAGCAGTGCTCGATGGAGGGGCCCCGGTAGGCATGCAGGTGGGGACGAGCTGCGTTTTCTCATCAGGGATATCTGAAATGCGAAAACACCAGATGTTCAAGGCTGGATGCTGGTTGACCTCAACCAACCAGTGAACACGAGAGGTTGGGAACAGCTGGCCGGTCGGGGGTGAACGAATGTAAACAAACGCCAGGGGACAGTGGTGTGTGAACTTTTCAAGAACTGTCCGCAAACACCAAACCTCGGATGTGAGAAAATTTATGCCAGTTTTAACAGCTGCGCAACAATCCATTCATGTCATAACATGACTAAAACAAGTGGAGCAATTCGTGTAGTGCGACTTGAAGCATGCTCAAGAATCGCATAGTTTAATACGTACCAGCCTAACTAAGATGGCGCGGGTTCTAGTTCCCCCTTATTGGCTCTCAATAATAGACAAAATCTATTGTGTCTCATACATGATGCGATTTATGTGCACTTTGGCCTCTCCGCAAGTGGACACGCTAACGGTAAGCGGCAATGCTGTGCAAAAGTAACGATACTCTATACGGAATGCTTCTCATGGTTAGTTCATTATGGAGAGAGCGCCAGAGAGAGAGACAGAGACAGAGACAGAGACAGAGACAGAGACAGAGAGAGAGAGAGAGATATATATATATATATATATATATATATATATGAGAATGAAATGAACTACCTAGAAATATGTTTAACGAGCGGGTTTACATTAACAAAACGAATTGGGGCATTGCTATAAACGCGGATACATTGAACTGGATGCAGTTGACATTTCCTCAAGAAAATGTTAGAAACACCAAACGCTGCGTTCCGCATCACCTATTTTTCCAAGTAACCATATCACAGCCATGTGCAAGAGCTGCTTACCGAAAGCCAGGGCAAGTTAAAGACTGAAAACTTATGCATATAGCGAAAGCGCGACACCTGGGCGGGGGGGGGGGGGGGGGCAACGAGAACGCGGACTGAGCCACGAACTTTGAAAATGTATCATTGGACGTACCGGCACTTCCGAAAAAGTGACCATGAATGGTTGTCGCCCCCCCCCCCAACTTGGGAGGAATTCCGCTCCCCCTGGCAGACAGGCTTCGTTCGAATGCAAATGTATCTTAAGCATGTCAAGACTGATGGGTGAATATCAAACAGAATGTTTGTTAGGTGAATAGTATCGTTCATCACTTACCGAATGCCAGACGACGCTTCTTCTTTGCTGCAATCGTCCCGGTCCAGTATTTGCCGTTGTGTCTCAGTCGCACTCTGCCTCCAGCCTCCAGCGTTGACCCAGGCATTAGTCGCAGATCAGAAATAGCAACATAGTGCCATTCCCCGAAATATGTGTCATCCCAATCTACTCTAACCACTCGTCGTTTTTTCCTCTTCTTTTCGTCCATGGTTGGTTCACTTAGGTCAAATTGGGTCAAATTGAAATATTTAAATTCTGGTTAAACTCAATCAGACAACTCGTGGCCAAGTTGTTCCGTCTTACGCGGGCTAGCCGAATCTGGCTATACGTCAGGTTTCGGAACGAGGAGTAGGCAGTTTATGTGATGAAGCAGAGGCGTAGCCAGGATTTTTACGGCGCGGGGGCGAGGCGATGTTCAGCGATAAATCACGGTGATTTTAACCCTGTGTGAGGAATCATCTTTGCTACTCACAGAAACATCCAGGCCTCGGGGATCCCAGCTTGGGCCCCTTGCTCCCCCCCCCCCGATCCCTGGCTGCGCCTCTGTAATTATTCACGTGCAACCGGCAGCACGCGCAATCGTCACGCAGCCGTAGTACTACTTCTGAGAATACGTGTTTTTTGCGACGGAAAATGCATTGGTATCGGGAGCGCTTTTGGCAGGCAAAAGCCGTATGTCCCATTTTGTTCGGATGCGGCTTTTTACCTGACGGAAGACTCCTTTGCGGACCAAAGCACAGTGAACAAAAAGCCGTATGTGCCCTGTGCAGTAGATACGGCTTTTTGTCTGACTGAAATCGTACTTGCGGCCTTTTGCCTGCCGTGCATCATTGTCAGTTAGCGCGATGCGGCTTTTGACAGATCATATACACTTATAATTCGAAATACAAAACGCGCGTAAGTGTATGCTCGCCACCATCAGAGGCGTCTTCTCGAAAGCTTCAAAATGACACCAAAAACGAAAAATCGATGAAAATCGAGTTACGGCTTTTTGCCTTTTGACGGCAGAGCGGCCGTCAGACGCTAAAGCAGCGTCAGCCGTCCGTTCATTAGCGGGGTGCTGTCTGGTGCTCAGGTTCAGCGAGAACGGACTGGGCGCCGGGCGGAGCGGCCGTCAGATGCTAAAGCAGCGTCAGCTGTACGTTCGTTAGCGGGGTACTGTCTGACGCTCAGGTTCAGCGACAACAGACCGGGCGCCGGGCGGAGCGGCCGTCAGATGCTAAAGCAGCGTCAGCTGTACGTTCGTTAGCGGGGTGCTGTCTGGCGCGTCCTTAGCCAGCGCCGGCACGCCTGGTGGTACAGCGTCGCGACCCTTTCAGGTGTGTGCTGGGGGACAAGCCTCCCCTGTGCATATCTGATGAAGCTTTCTCACACCAACGACGTCGTACGTACTTGCAGTAAGCGATAGCATACGATTGCAGCATCCGACCGCAGTAGGCAATAGCTGCGACATTTAGGCAGTACCTATCGACCGCATGAGAAAACAACGCTCAGAGCAAATCACAGGGGTCCAGGGGAGCGCAACGATCCGATGCGTCCACGTCCCTGACGACATCCGGTTGGCACGCGTGCGGCACGCAGGTCGCAGCCAGACCCGGCACTGCTTGGGCACGTGACCCGGCCGGGCGGCAGGGTCGGCGCCTGACCTGGTGGCGTGCGGCCGGTAGTTCTCGTCCACGTCCGTCGGTTGGCGGATCACCACCACCGGGCTTTGGAGCAGCACTGAAACACGGCCGGTCGGCGGTCAGCCGGCGGCCGGCGCCCTCCACGCGCCGCGCCAGACAGCCGCTGCCTCGGTCACGAACGCTCGGATTGGCGTGAACTTCATCTGCTTGGTTTGGCGGACTGACGGCGGTGCTCTCCTACTGCCGCAAGTTAACTCAGGACATGTTGCGTGGTAAAAGACAAGAAAGTGATGTCATGACTAAATAGACGATCGAACACGACACACTAGTACTCGGAGGGGTCTAAGGGTCTAATACTATTAATCTAATACTAGCATTGAATATAATAATTCCATTAAGTTAATCAGTAATAATCGTTCAATTTAAGTAAACGCACTGCACATCCACTTAAAGAAGCTTGCTAGATACACCAAGCACGACACTAGAACTAACGACAACGCATGAGACAACATGGGGATATGTCGAATGCAGCTGGAAGTCATTGATTGTTGCCGCTACAACTGGTGGGAATACGTGTGATACTAACGGATTAGTTCTGACAATGCTTGGTGAGCCTTGTTCAGCAGCGTTGTTAGAGGGGGGCAATGTTCAGCTTTAACGGAAAATATTTGAAACGAAGAACCTGATCGAATGACAGGTTCTAAACATGCGTCTTGGCTGTCTGCTAGCTTATTTTCCGCCTCCCCCCCCCCCCCCCTCAGTTTTGCTGGTTTATTGCCAGTATTTCGGATGTGCTTGGTAAATGTAAACTAACGCCAGGTTTATCGTCGGACAGGCAAACCTGGGAACAGCACACATACAGTCACCCACTTTCTCCCTTACCGCACGTCACCCTGTGTACGAACCTTACACGTACCCGTATCTCCCACGTGAAAAAGGCCGGCCTGAATGGCCACGTGGCGCTGGCTGCCCCAGCTGGACACGTTGATGATGTCATCCACCGAGTCGCGCACGGTAAAGGATAACACGGATACCGATGTCAGCGGATCTGAAAAGTAGTCAGCTATAAGGGTGCCGATAGTGTGGTGTTAACGCGTCTGCGTTAACCGCTGCACGTCTAGGAAACCGGAGATACGGGGTTCGATTCCCCGTGGTGCCCGCGCTTCCTACCAGGGTGGGAGGCAGACGACGCCACATAGCCTCAGTAGCTGAGTGCGTCGTAAAGGCTCAGTGACGGCGATGACGATAAAAAGGGGTCACGAGGCAACCTGACGGGCACCAGCTTGGATATGCGGTGCCAGTGACACTTTTGCGTGGGACGCATGTGGGGAATTCCTGTGAGCGATGAGACGGGTCACGCGACGCTCCCTGAAAAAGCGATGCATGAAATGAACCGCCTCGACATGATAGGTGTCTTTAATCGGTCGGGCATACACAGGTAAGGGTAGTCTAAAGGGTAGTCTTCCGGTAAGTAGTCTAAACATTGTATCTTCCCCAGCCTATGCACGCCGATCTGCAGCAATCCAGCACGGTCCAGGCCAGGGGTGCGGGCAGGGTGTCACAATGCGGGAGGGTGCGGCACAACTAAAAAACCAGGTAAGAAAACCGTGCTAAATTTCTTGAGCCCCGCAAAAACATCGCACGTTTTCGATCATACTCTTCCTAAGCGACGACCTGGAATTTCCATTGCCAGCATTCCGTAATACACGCCATAAATTTGGTATGGGGGGGGGGATGAGCACGTGCCCTCGGGGGCCACTATGTGCGTTCTCCCCTGGCCACGGTGTGCCGCGGGGCGGCGGTGATCACGTGCGACTCACCCCGCTTGCTGGGCATCACCCTGGGGTCCTGTTTGGCGATCACCAGCGCCGGCAGACTGCAGGCGCCGCTCAGGCTCGGGCTGAGCCCGGCGATGGTCGTAATGCCCGCTTGCGGTGCGGCCATGTTCGGTCAGCACGGGCGTCCAGGTCCGGGAGCGTCACCTGTTGCGCTGCCTGGGCTTCTCTCTGTGTGGTGTGGAGTGGTGCCGATCTGTCCGGATCGGGACGACTGGCTGGCCAATATGCGCTGCTGCATTCACCTGGATGCCCAGTAATACCCGAGCGGTCGTAATGCCGTGAATACTATTACACAGACGAACTGTGCAGTCAGGAAGCGGCAGGTTGGGGAAGGAGCAGGGGCCACTCTGCCCGATTGAGATAAAATTTGATGTTCCATTGTGACGTTTCATGGAAGGCGATGAGGCAGTTCACAGGAAGTCGGAGGGGCCGATACTTTGTAATGCGGATTCTGAGTTCAGTTCAACACGCCATACCACCCATTTCGGTCCAGTCACGTCCCTCTCGCTCTCACCCGGTCTCGTCTAGTGTCGTTCGGTCCTTCCAATCTCCCTAATGTTGTAATTTGTTGTCAAGAGCAGCAACTTCCGTCACCGCGCACCACCGCCCACACCGAAGTTCCGTTCTGGAACTGGAAGGTGTGGGCGGTAGGATCAATTCGGGGTATCAGGCACCTACAGGTAGACAAATGTAATACTATTCCTCCTTGTTGTACAGGATATCTCGATATCATTATCGTTAAGATTTTCAGGCAAAATTAGGCCCAGAGAAAAGGTGGGCTTACGCCAGTGATACCATAACTTTCCCACAGGGCGGTCAAACTCCAGCTATCCCCATAAAAAAGGAAGAAAAAGCATGGAAGAAATGTCCGTGGACCTACGAAATATTCTTTGTTTTTACTCCGACCATCAAAGTTTCAGTACAGCAAAAAACGGCTCTAAAAGGGCCTTCGTAGGTCTTAAACAACGCTCCACAGCCCGGGACCCAATCACAACCCTAAACGTAAACAAATGCAACAGTGAGCCATATGTCTTCTGCTCGTAAAACCAAAACATGACCGCCGCAATCTCAAGAACTTTTTTATTTAACCTACGAATATTCAGACAGCATTCAACAATAGCAGCCCGTAAAGGACGTTATGTTGTCAGCGAATATCAGCCTCCTGTCGTCGCACGCGAGACTTAAAATCATTCACGTCAGCTTTCTTCGAACTTCAAAAAACTTCCGTGCAACATTTTTGGGCATGGATCAACATTTTCATTTTTGGGCATGGATCACCGTGTGAGTGGTAGGATCGGCCCTAAACACTTCTACGAACCTTTGTAACAACCCAGTCATCATTGTAGCGTTTCAGTTTTTTTAAGAGGAACGTAAGCATAACACAAATTAAGATCTACTCCGGCCACGTGGAAGAGCACCTGACGTTGATCAGCCGCCCCCTCGCTTCCTCAAGGGAGGAAGCCACTGCCACATTCGCCTCCCCCCCCCCCCCCATGTCCACTTTCTTGGTCCTTAACACCAACCCCAAATTCGCGTACTTTGAATAAAAGAGACACCGACTGCACTAAAATCCAGTTGACACCATCTACATTCTTGCAAGCTGCAACTTCATCCACACTCAGCCACGCCCAGTTCGCACTCTCTGATCGGAGAACCACAGCGCAGGCGCAGCACAAACATTCGTTCGCTGCTGCATGCGCCTTTCATTGTCGTATGTCATATAATGTTCCTAAGAGAACGTGACGATACCATTTAACAAATTGTACACAATAGTTTATTCACATGATGATGAAGACACTCGCGTATTATTTCTTTCTTCACCTTTTCCCACCACGTCCCTTACCGCCCCCACGTCCCGTACCACCCTTGGCGGGCCTTCCGCTCTTCGCGCCCTTCCCACCCTTCTGCATCCCCCTCATGTCCTTCTTCATCCTAGGGTCAACCACCTTGTAGTGACCTTTGACACCGGCCGGCCGCTGCGCGCGCTTGCCATGCGTCGTGCTCTTCTTCGCCACCACGTATTTCACCTCTTGCTGCTTCTTGCTGCGCGCACGCTTGTAGATCTTGCGCAGCTCGCGCGCCTTCTCCATCGTAGTCGTGTCCTCCTTTTCGACCACCGCCTCCGCGCGGTGCCTGGCCTTCTCCATGCGCTTCTGGAGACGCCGCTTCTTGCGCGCCTTGGCTTCGGCCACCTTCTTGATGGGCCGCGCGTCTACGTCCTTGAGTCGCTCTTTGTACTCGGCCAGCAGTGCCGGGTCCAGCTCCGGCCGCCAGCGCATGTGGCGCTTCTCGTCATCCACGAACCAGGCCGGCAGGTTGACGTCGTCGAAGGCGTAGCGGTTGTAGCTGGCGTCGACGATGTCGCGGCGCGCCTTCTTCGAGTGGATCATCATGGAGCCGAGCGTGAGCCCCTCGGCGTCCAGCTTCACCACCCGCTTCTTGGCGCTCGGTGCCGCTTCTGACGGCTCGGCCGCGCGCTTGCCGCGCTTGGCTGACCGCTTACCACGGGGTTCATCGTCCGAGTCGCTGTCAGTGTCGCTGTCTGACTTGGCGTCATCGTCACTCTGTGCTGTGGCGTCAACTTCCTCCTCCTCGCTATCACTGTCAAATTTATTCAAGTCGGCATCTTTCTCTTTTGCCGCTGACTCTTTCGAGAGCCTTTTAGTGGACTTCTCCGCACTCCCCTCTTCCACTTTACTGCCACTAAACAGAGTGCCACCTTTTGCTTCGTGAGATTTGATGGCCTGCTCTAGTTCAAAATCCTCGTCTGCCTCATCCTCGATCGACTCGAACACGTCTTTGTCAAACCACAACTCCGCTTTGCGCGCCCGTCGTTCCAAACTTGACACTTTACCGCCCTTCGTCAGCTGAATGTCATCCACCAGCAGCTGAGGCTCTTCTTCGTCTTCCTCCTCCTCGTCTGACCGGTCTTCACCATCGGCTTCCAGCCCGAGGCCATCCGGATCTTGAGCATCATCGTCGACCCACTGCAGTTCGTCCTCATCAAGACGATCTTCCACACTCGGGTCGAAGTTCCCCATCGCATCACGAGTTTCGTGGTCGCGAGCAAACTGCCTCGTCGTCGGGCCTTCTTCATGCTCAACAGCCTCCTCCTCCACAGGAATGTCATTAAGGTCAGCATCGACAGCCTTACTGGGATCTTTAACGTCACGAAGCGCAAACAGGTCCTGTTCAGATGTTTCTACTCTTCCCTCTGTTGAGTAACCAGAGGCGCGAAGCTTCTCAAGAATTTTTCGTCTCTCTTGAAGAAGCTTCTTTCTTTTCTTTTTCGCTTCAGCATGCTGCTGGGCTTTTAAATCGGCGATTTGCTGATCTATTTTCGCCAGCTCATCCTCTTCGTCATCCTCAGATTCTTCTTTTTTGGGCGGTTCTACTTCCCCCTTCTTTTCCAGCTGCTCCTTTAACTTCTTTCGCCACTTGATCAGTGCCTTGATCTCTGCTTTACCGAGCACTTTGATATCCTCGCAACTTGAACGGATTTCGTCAGTAGTAGAAGGATGATTGGCGATGACATCGGTGTCAAAGACGATCTTGCTAGCACCTTGCAGCATTTCCAGGTGGTTCGGCTTGCTAATGAACTCTGTCGCCGGCAACACGCTGAAGACGGTGGCCTCACCATCAGCATATCCCACTGCCTTCTCCTTTTTCTGCGGTCTTCCCAACACCAGCTGCGTCGGCTTCTCCTCATTCAGCTCACCAAAGACATACTTCGAGCTGAGGAATTTGGGGTCAATCTTGTCCGGTGCCTTGAAACCCTGACACACCACGAAAATCTCGGCCGACTCGTTTCGAGACGCCTGGGGCTTGGTGGCGTGCACCTTGTTGAACAGCATCTTGAACACCCAGATCAGAGCGTGGTAATCTTTCGAGCGGAAAATCTTGGTGACGAACCAGCCGCCCTTACGGAGAAACTCAGTGGCCAACGCCAGCGCTGACAGCGTCAGCTCGGCCTGCTTGAACGCGTCGTGCAGCCAGGACTTGCCGACGTTTGGGGCGCCGTCGTTCATCACCACGTCCGCCCGCCACGTCTTGAGCTCCCGCTTCAGCGCCTGCCGACACTTATCGGTGGTGATGTCCTCCTTCAGCGCGATGCAGTTCGGTATGGGCTTGATGGGCACCAGGTCCACGCCCACGCAGATGCTGGAGATGGGCATGTTCTGGCGCGCCACCTGCATCCATGATCCAGGCGCGGCGCAGAGGTCCACCACCACGCGGGCCTTCTGCAGGAACTCAAACTTGCGGTTCAGCTGGATCAGCTTGAATGCGGAACGAGCGCGGAAGCCGGTCTCCTTGGCCAAGTGATAGAACTTGTCCTTCCGCTGCTTGCCAGTTTGGTGTTTGACACCCATTGTGGTGCCTTAGTGACACTGAAAGAACAAGAAGAACTTCAGTTCCAGCATGTGACTTACAAGTGTTACATTCTAAAACTATGCCCATCATGGAGCAAGTGCATATGGGTGCAAGTGCATTTGAGCATATAGGAGCAAATGATTCACATAGGCTTTCATTACTTGCGCAGGATCAGTCAATCAACATGGGGTCAATCAACATGGGACTGGGTGGCAGCCAACTCAGTGAACCAGCCCCCATGTCTCAGGCCTGGAAAATTGGCTACCCAGGTCAGATGTCAGGGCTCAAAATCAAAGGGTTTCCTATAAGAGTTGAACAACATATTTGCAGACATTGACAAGGAGGCAGAAACTGTGTTGGATGACTTCATATTTCACCTTCACACCAAACTTGATGAATTTGGATAGACTGACTGCAGGGTTTTCATGTGGAACTGTATCTTCCCAAATTATATCCCTGAAAAGCTATGTTGGTGATGCTGTTTGGTAGAAAAAGGAGAAAAAACCTTGGTTATGGTTAAAAAAGTAAGAAGAAAGAAGTAAAGAAGTAAGTAAGAAGGGGCTGAGCCCAAAATTAAATGCTAAGTAGTTATTCATAGTAAAAGACAAGATGAGTTTAACTGATGCTGGTCAATGCCACCACCTCTCTTGCACTGCTATACTCAGTTTATCCTCCATTACAAAACATAAGTCATGACAACATCTCATTGGTACTAGGCCAGCTTTTTGTGTACTCAATCATGCCAATTTTGTGCTAGCAGGTAATATTCACCACCTTGCCCATTCACATAAATCCATCTACTGCACCCAAACTCTGAGACGCCTATGCCACAGTAGTATGCTTTATCTGGTGCATAATATGAAAAACTGGCCATATAATTTGGAAAACAATTTCACTTATTTTGGCTTGAATTTCTTAGGACAACAGTGGACCTGAATTAACCTAGCATCATCATCATTAAATGAAGCATAGGCCCTCTAAATGCTGTATTTGGTATACTTGCATCAAACTATGAGCTTTCTGAAACATGGCATGCATGAGCTGAAATTGCTCCTTGCAGGGTCAGCATATACATTGCTACCTCATGTTAAGAGAGAGCATTGTACATCAATCATGATTTTTAAGGCAGAACATATCATAATTAATTGTAAAACAGGTCTCTAAGCTCTCACCTTGGAGCTTAAATAACTAAGATAGCAAACATCTGAGCGCAAACATGCAGCAACCACAGGGTACCCCGCGCCATTTCTACATGTGATCGCAGCATTACTGCGTGGTCACAACATTACTGCGCATCAAGAACCATAAAAATGTACGAGACCAAGGTAACAATAATTCAATAAAATGTGTTTCTTGCGTATCAAAGCAGTCTTCCGTATTGTTTGTAGATTGCTCAACATGGTGGGGAAACATGACGTTTTTGCGTGGGAATAATACGCAAAATGAGAATATGGTGGCTAAACAAAACTTCTTAATACAGTACATATATATGGCATGGAACATGGATGCCAATGGGACACTGAATTGAATGGGATAGGGTGGGGGTCAGGTTAGGTTAGGTGAGGTTAGGTTAGGCTGTTAGGCTAGGCTAGGTTAGTTAGGTTAAGTTAGGTTAGGTTAGGTTAGGTTAGGATAGGTTAAGTTAGGTTAGGTTAGGTTAGGTCAGGTTAGGCTAGGCTAGTTAAGGCTATGTTCTGGACTATTCTGGCCTGTCTGTTTCATAAACGTACCTGGACGCGATAAGAAACGTTTTTCATTGCATTATGATCGTTACCTTAGTCCCACATATTTTTATGGTTCTTGATAAGCAGAAATATTGTAATTACGCAATGGCAACGCAGAAACGGCGCTGGGGAGTCGAGGCGGTGGGGTGCATGCTCTCGGGAGCTTGCTGTCATAAATGTCAAAACTTGAGGGTATGAGCATGAATCTACCTGTTTTAAGATTATTTATGATATGTTCCACCTTAAACATGACAAACAGTGTACAATGAATTTTTTCTAACATTAGGTAGCAATGTATACCACCACCAAAAAGATGTCATGTAGCAGGTGATGTGATAACCACAGAAAATAATGCAGTTTTCCAAGTGCTGTTAGCTGGGAAATAATGAATGCATGGTAGCTTGAACTGTACTGAACAAATATGGTGCAAGCATTGGTATTAATGTGGAAATAAATCAAGTCCTTTCTTTGATGACAATTCATATTGAATGCAATGTCTTTTATCTGGTAAAGGTATTGATAACTGAACGGTTTGCCATGCTTTGCAGCCTGACCCTGTTCACGCATGGACTGATGCAAACGTCCACGAGAACAGGCATACCGACTCCTTTGTAGCAGCAATTCGCATAATTACCTCCTTTGAAGAGCCTCAGCAATATCAACCTGCCTTATGCCCAATACTGATGGCAGTTCTCGATGCCTTCGCGAAATACCTCACGCCCTCAACCCTCCGGCGCTGATCAGTGCCTTACACGGCACTACCGCTAACAATATCTAGCTCATTCGTCCCATGTGCGTGGACCATTCGTAAATGTCGCATAAGCGCCCTTTATGAATGAAAAGGCCATTGCTCCAGATTTAGTTCCTTTACTATGCATTTTAAGTGTAGATGGAAAATATAAAATGATTTTGTTTGTGATTATCATAACAATTTCATTAGCACGGATCTTTTCAGTTTAAACTTCAAGATATCGAGAAAAACTAGAAATACAGGAAAAGTAATTTTTATGGTGTTGAAGGTAGGCACGGAGGACTTTAGCATTACGGAATAGTGAAATTTGGAAGCCAAAGCCCCGGAGCACTCACGACGTGCAAACGGCAGCGCTGAGCGAAAGGGCGTTTGGGCGAGGAGCCCGTGATGCTTTGTTTACTCGCATTTCATTCACCGCTTGGATGACAGTTAAGGTAAGCTTACAGCCAGGATCACTCATAACTGACAATGAAAGAGTGCGGTGTGCTTGCTGTGGCGCCGGGCATGGCTAGAACTTCCGTGTAACCTACCTATCGGGGTGGACTCGAGCCTCCGTGTTTCTGAGTTGTTACACTATGCTTCAGATTTCGTGTTGTAAGATTTGCTTGTGACCGTATCCGTTCTCCAGTTTTCTCGAGAAGGCTCTTCCCTCACGTAAGGTTAGGATTGAGATAAATTTTGTTTCAAGGAAATGCTTCATGAAAAGCACCTAGCTAGATTTGAACTGACTGACCCAGGCACCTAGCGCCTGGAAGTCATTTCCGGATATCTTGGGTGCAGCTGATACAGACACATTTGCTCTGGCATGAAATGAGTAATGGAACCTGGTCGCATATTTTCCTCGCCTTGCGTTTGGTGTATACTAAAGCTTATGTTTTGTGCCGACAGAGTGCTCTGCGTGCGCGGTGCGGGCGCCGCCGCCCCTGCTGCCGGCGCCCGGCTGGTGGTGGGCCGCGGACGCCGTGAGTCAGTTGTGTCACGGCGCCGGGGTGGTGACGGTCAGTCAGTTGCTGCCCGTACGTCGACCGCTGCAGACGCCCCGCCAGACGCGGACACACAGAACACGGCAAGGTGAGTCCAGTCAGAAAGGCGCAGATGAGGGAGCATGGGGAGATCAGTGTCGCGGTGGTCAGGTGGTCCGCACTCATTACTGCGTGAGTGGCGTGACCGCTATGACATTAGGAGGGAGTTGTCGTCGCAGGCCGGTTTCCACGTGACCCAACCTGCCTGGTTTCCGGGCGGCGCTACCTTCTCATCAGTCTGCGCTGTATCCAGCGCTGGCTGTCTGATCAGTCCATCATGTATTGCGGCTGATTGCCTCCCGACGTCCGCCGGGCGGCCTGTGACGTCATGACCGGTCCTTATCTCTCCGTCGCGGCCACCGCGGGCGGAGCACTGACCGCGCCCCTCGGCGGCAGCCCCCGCCCTCTGCGTCACAGCCGGGTCACGGCCCCGCCGCCTCCCCGCGCGGGGAGCGGTCTGGTGTCGGCGCTCGCTGTGTCGTGGCTCCCACGCCGCCGACGCCGGCTCTCGGCGACACCCGCTCTAACAACCGGCCGGCCGTTTGTGGCCTTGACAGTGGGGCCTGACAGGCCGGAAATGGCGCATTGCTCTGCACAGCAAATGGTGGCCCGGGGTGGGCCATTTCTCGTCGGCGCGGTGCGGAGCACAGCATTGTCCGTTGATTAACTGCTCGCGAATGGGCCGCCACGCAATTTGCTCGATGCAGTTTGTTGGTGACAGTCGCAATGCTTGAGACGCGGGATGGAGCCAGGCTTGGTGATTTACACCCCCGCTTACTTGGGGCGCCTTCATTACGCGGAGAATCACCCACCCACCGCTGGCCTCCGTCGGCCACCCGTGGTCTCAGCGGTGGAATGGCCGCCAAGCCTCCGGCGAGACGCTGCAAGCGGCGCTCTCTTGAGCTCCGTGGCGTGCGGTTCGAGGCTCACCCGAGAGCATCGGATCAGCACTCCACGTGTGCAGTCCAGTTCAGAGAGCTCTCTGAGGCGCTAATCACGAGTGGCCAGCACCGACGTCGGATCACGGCTGTTCCTGCACCGCATACTTGTGCGTCGATCTGAGAAAATCACTGCTGTGAGCCGGCCATTCACACAGGCGGAGGGGGGGGGGGGGGGGCAGGGGGAACCCGACGAGAACAGGTGGCCCACTCCGTCAGCATTCCAGAGTGCCTGGCCGCCTCCATCCGTGCGAGGGCCGCGCCAGAGTCCACTCCCTCCGCCCTGCAGAGGTCGATGCTAGCGGAGCACCTCTCGCCGGACCGGGCGGGTCGCTCGGTCGCCGGCGCTGCTGCGGCGCGCTCGCCGCTGTTTGTACCGCCCGGGAGGCGGTAATGGGCCACGCTGCCGGTCGGGCCGCGTGCCTTTGTCCCCTCCCCGGCGCCCCCCCCCCCCCCCGGACGCGTCACGCGGAGGGAGACGTCCCCGGCTGCGGTACCTGGTCGAGTGGGGCGGTGCAGGTGGGGTGGCGAGCGGACGGCGGGCGCGCTCCGTCGCTAATATATCCCGGCCGGCCGGAGGACGTATTGTAATGCGGTGAAAGGGCTCAATGAGCAGACCGTAGCCACTTGAGAACGGCAGGGGGTGGGCTGGCGTCAGGGAGCGGGCGGTGGTGTCGCAACACCGCCGCGGCAGCCACTGTGGGCTGACAAGTGCTCAATCTGTAGTGGCGGTCAGGACTCTGGCGAACTGTAAATTATTCGCGAGCGCGCTCCGGCGACCGCGTTGGCGGTTTAAAGGACGCCTTGGGCTACATTGGGTGCGGTGTCACTACATGGTGCATGCCATGAACGGCATTAACAGCTCATACTGGGATATGACTCACGTCTACAACGCCACCTGTGGAACGCGTGCAACGGAATGCATTAGCCAACTAATTCTAACTCTGAAATGATGCGTGTGGAACAGTGATATACTGGTTAGTCTCACATCGTATGCTGTCGCTTGGGCTTTGGCGGCTCGTTGTCAGCCACGTAGTGCGCACAAATGGCCACATTTTACGTCTGTGGAGCTCCAAGTCAGTGCGCGCCGTCGGTAGCACCCGAAGCGGGCGCAGCTGGCGACTCAACTCGACCCGGAGCGACCCGCGCCGGCCGCCGTGATGGCGATACCGCACGGTCGACCGTGCCCGGAAATATACCAAACTAAAAATGGGACCCACACGCCGCCTATACAGATCGGCCCGTTAGCGCAGCTCTGAAAGGCGCCACACGAACGGGGAGCGGCGCATCGCGCTGCGGGCCGGGGCGTGCCGGCCGTGCGGGGCGCGTGCAGGGTCCGCCGGCTGCAGACCCGGCCGGCCCGACACGACGGAGCGGGTCACGCGCTGGCCCCGGTCAGCTGGGACGTCTCGCTCGGTCGCGCCGTGTCACGTGGACCGGCTCAGTGGCGCGTACCGCGACAGCCGCTCGGCAGCTTCACGAGCCGTCGCGTAGGCCGATCGATCAACGCTGTTGTGTTTTGTGGTCATGGTTGGGTGCGTGCGGACGGTTCGCGGTGGTTCCAGCTCCGGGGACCGACGTAGCTCAAGTGAATATAGCCGACCATTACACACGGCGGCGGGCGCCTAGTTTTGTCCCCGGGCGCGCGCGCCATGTCATGCGCCGCGCTCAGTTTGTTTGTCATCCTCTAATTCGGGCGGAGTCGCGCATGGATGATCTCATGGGCATTGTATGTCAGTTTTTGCCAGCGAGGGCGCTGGTCCGTAATCCATTTCATGGTGGAGGAGGACGCAGGTCCGGGTGGAAATGATAATTTCTGGAACAGCCGTGTGAATGGGAAAGCTCAGCGTGTCGGCTCGAAGCTTTCTGTTTAACAGTGCTACGAGGGCGTTCACGGAAGGCGCGGCCCGTGTCCCGCGCCGCCGACACGCCACGGTCCGACTAGAAACCGTGCCCCGGTCCCGAGTCGGGCTAATGTCCGCGACACACGGGGACGGACGTCTCTCCGTCAGACGGGGGGGGGGGGGGGGGGGGGGGGAGGGGCGGACCGCGGCGGGCGCGAGCGCCGGCCACCGCTGACCCGCCCGCGGTCAAGGCGAGGCGCGTCTCATTATGTATGGGTACGGCACGGGCCGGCCAAGGTCGCGCTGTCCTTCCTTCCTCGCGCGCGCGCGCCGGCGGCCGGCGGCTAGCGACGGGAACGCGTGCCCTAGGCCGCCCGGCCGGCGCTGGGACCGAGGTCCCGGCTTGGACTGGCCGGGTGCGGAGTTAGCTGCCGGCTCGCTGCTGGAGGTGCGAGTAGGTGCACCTCTCGCTGACTAGTCTTAGAGTTCGTGTCCGATTCGGAGCGAGTTGACGTTAGCTGGTGTATTCGGCATAGTATGAACTGCGGGATCACCGTCATGAACTACACGCTTTTCGTTGTTGAGGCGGGGGGCTTCTAAAGGAGAAAAGACATAAGTTGGCTCTTGTCGTGTTTGGAAGTGAACTCGGTGCTCGGGGTACGGTATATCTTGTATGCGTTGGCTCTATCCCCCAATCCATAAAATGCTGGGTCTTTACCTCGGTGACGATGCAGAACTTTTCAGCTTGCCTGGAGTTGAAGCAACGCCATGGTGCCGGACCGCGTGCGGCGTTCGTCGTACGACACCGCGCCATACCCACCTCTCACCCGCCTGTCTGTGACTGAATGAACCCTGCCCCCTGGCGCTCCCGCGCCGCTGCCGTCGGTCGGCGGAGCAGATTCGGTGTGATCCGCGGGTGGCCGGCCGGGTCCTGCCGCCGCGGCCGCGTGCCATCCATCCGGACCTGTCACCGGCTCGGCCCGGGGTCGCTTTAAACGGCCGAGGACGCCGAAGCCGGCCGGGGTCGGGGCCCCGCCCGAGGTAGGCGGGCGGCGCTGCGGTGAAACCCAGGCTGTGATGCAGGCGCGTGTTTGTTTTACCGCGCGGCTGGTGCGGGGTTGGGTTACGTCATCGCCGGGGCCGGTCGGAGCGGCTCGTGCTCGGGCTGTCTATAGCTGTT